TGTAGGGTGCATCTTGGGGCCATCGTGGGCTCTCTTGAAGCCATCTTAGCGTTCTTGTAGGCCTTTCTGAAGCCATCATGGGCCATCTTGGCCGTCTTGGAGGCCATCGAGGCCGTTTTGGACCAGGAACGGGGGGTCCTGGAGCCCCGGTCCCGCCATAGAAAAATGAGGCCAGGCCCCCCCGAGGACCTGTGTGTTCTATATATATATATATATATATATACACTGGTAGAAACGCATCGCTTGGCGCATACTCGCCTGGTAAGTAATCCAAGGGTGCGCACACAAAGCGTAGTGAAACTCCTTGCTGCCCCTGGAGTGAAAAGAGTGACCAACAGGACATGACATTGATATTTTCCGACGGAGACGCATCAGCCTGGTGCGAACTTCTCTGGTCGATTGCCCAAGGATGTGCGCGAAGGGTGGAGCGACCAGCTCTTGAAAGTAAACAAATGCATCAAATTTACTGGGCTGACCGCAGGCGGACGTCACCTGCAAGCCAGCATTGAAGCCAGACGTGCCTTGGCACGAACGGTACACATACTGAGGCGCCGACCAATTCCCTTTCTGAAAATTCGAACGCCAACAATGAAACTCCGCCACCCTGTCGCAGGCACGTTGGGGCCATGCGAGAGCGCTCTTTGGCTTTCGGGAAATGTTTCTGCTGTTCTCTGGGAGCGACGCCCCCCTGCCGCGCGCATCCGCACAAAATCGCGCCCTCTGCACTTTGCTCAACGGCTCCACGGCGCCCTGAGCCAGAGACCGCCTCAAAACGGCCGCAAGACGCCCCAAGCCCGTCCAAAGACGGCCCAGCGGACTCTCTTGGCCCTCTCATGAAATCCCGTTGGAATTTCTTGGGACCCTCTTGGGCGGACTCCGGAAGCTCCGGGGCCGCTTTTGGGGTCCTGTTGGGCCGTCCTCGAGCCCTACGAGGGGGGGAAGGACGGGCCAGGCGGAGCGAAACAAACGATTGTCTCCGCAACAAGCAGATGGAATCCGAGGTTGGGAAAGAGATCGAGGTGAACGAGAAATCCCCCGCCAAAAAATCGTTTTCGGTTTCGTGTCGTGCGTGTGGGCGAGGCGAAGCTGCGTCGGCGGGCGAGAGGAATGAACCCGCCGTGCTTAGGCAAAACAGAAAAAAATGCTGCGCCCCCCAGTTGGCCAGTGGCTGCCCGGGGGTGTCCCGCGGTGTCCCGTTGTGTGACAGAATCCGAGGTTGGGAAAGAGATCGAAGTGAACAGGAGCCCCCCCGCTAGGAAATCGTTTTCGGTTTCGCGTTCGTGTCGCGCGTGTGGGCGCGGCAAACTGCGTCGGAAGGCGAGGGGAAAGAACCATCTGCGTTTACGGCAAAACCGGGCCAAATTTTGCTGTGCCCCCCGGTTGGCCAACAGTGGACCGGGGGTGTCCCGCGGTGTCCCGTGGTGTCTTTCCCGGTTGGCCGGCGGTGGCCTGGGGGTGTCCCGCGGTGTCCCGTCGTGTCTGGTGCTATGCGATTCTCTGCTGTGCTGTGCTATGCCATGCCGTACAATGCTACGCTATGTTATCAATGCGATACTAAGCTATGCGGTGTGATGCGATGCGATACTATACTGTGCGATGCGATGCTAAGCTATGCTATGCTACGCCATACTGTGCCATGCGATGATATGCTATTATATGCAATGCGATGCGATGCTATGACGTGCTATGCGATGCTATGCTATGCTTTGCTACGCGATGCTCGTCTATGCTGTGCTGTGCGATGCTATGCTATGCTCTGCTTTGCGATGCAATGCTATGTTGTAGCTCCAGATGGTCCCCCTTCCTCCCCCCACCACCACACACACAACCTCCTTATCACCCGAAGGGTGGTCGTACATGTAGGTATGCACTGGCAGGATCTCGCGGCCAGAGACTTAACCGCCTCGCGCACACTTGCCTGGAGCGGGGAGGGATGGGGAGGAATGGGAACGATCTGGGAGGAGCGGAGAGGGGTGCGGAGTGAGGTATCTTGTGGGCCTCTTGGACTGTCTCAGAGCGCTCTGGGATCCACAAGCGCCTACGGAGGTCGTCTTGGAGGGCTCTGTGGGACGTCTTGGGGCGATCCTGGGAGCTTATTGGGCCGTCTTGGAGGCCTTGTTGGGATGTCTTGCGGCGCTCTTGGGGTTCTCTGAAGCCGTCGTGGACGCTATGTATTATAAATGAGAATTACCATAATAATAATATTATAACAATAATAATGATAATAATAATAATAATGATAATAATAATACTAATAGTAACAATAATAATAATAGTAGTAGTAGTAGTGATAATAATAATAATAATAATAAGAGTAGCAAGAAGAATCACAATAATAATAATGATGTGATAATGATTAAAAGAAAGAACAAACAAACAACAACAACCAAAAAACGCATATGATGCCAAAAATAAACGCTTCCCCGAGGAATTATGGCGATGTGTGTCCCTTGCGGCCCTCATAAGTATCCTCTTGGAGCCCTCTTCAAGCGCTTGGGGGGCCTCTGCGGCCGTCTTGAAACCATCTTTGGCGTCTTGGCGCACTCTTGGACCGTCTCGGAAGCCTCCTGGACCGTCTGGGGAGCGCCCTCGGGCCCTCCGAAAGCCCCCCGAAGGACCCCGAGGGGCACAGTGGGCACCGCGGGGGGGAGGGGGGAGTTTTGGAAAAGTGGGCAGCCTCGGGCCCCAGGGGCCTGGTCGCGGGGTCCGCATGGTGATGGGCAACTGTGATGAGCGCTTGCGCGCTGCAGTCAAAGCCACCTTGAGCCAAAATGGCTACGGATGCTCGTGGGGCGTCTTTGGGGGCTCCTGTGGGGCCTCGTGGAGCCTCTAGGGGGGCTCTTGGGCTCTCTTGGGGGCCTCTTGGGGCCTCCTGGAGGCCTACTGGGGCGGAAGGCTCGAATTGTCGGTCCGTGTTCCCCTTCTTGGGCCCCTCTTGGGGCCCTCTTGGGGCGATCTTGGGCGCCACTGCGGCCGCCTTGGGGCACTCTTTGGGCCGTCTTGGGACTCTCTATTGCGCCGTCGTGGCGCCCTCTTTGGGTGCCTCTTGGGCCGTATTGAGCTCGTTTCTGGGGTCTCATGGGCTGTCTTGGACCGTTGGAAGCACGAAACAGCGAGAACACGAACAACCTTCAAAAACCATTGATGAAATCTACTTATTCCGCCTCCTGAGTGCCTCGTGGGAGCCCTGTTGAAGGCATCTTGATCATCTTGAAGCCCTCTTGGGCTGTTTTCAAAGCCATGTTGGACCATTTTTGGAACGCTCTTGTGCGGTCTTGCGCTCTCTTGGAACACTCTTGGGCCATCAAGGCGCCCTCTTGGACGTCACTCGGCCCCCTTTGACGTTTTTGTTGCGCCCCCCGCAGGGCCCGAAACGACCAGAAGACAAATCAGCGCACTTCGGGGGGGCCGGGACCCCCTACCCATATGTTATATATACATAGATATACATATATATATATATATATATATATATATATGTGTGTGTATGTATGTATGTATGTATGTATGTATGTATGTATGTATGTATGTATGTATGTATGTGTGTATGTATGTATGTTTGTATGTATGTATGTATGTATGTATGTATGTATCCATGTTTGTGTGTATGTATGTATGTATGTATGTATGTATGTATGTATGTATGTATGTATGGATGTATGTATGTGTGTTTGTTTGTATGTATGTATGTATGTATGTATGTATGTATGTATGTGTGTGTATGTATGTATGTATGTATGTATGTATGTATGTATGTATGTATGTATGTATTTATTTATGTTTACCCTACCTAAGCTCTGCCTAGAAGGGTTCTTACTCTGTTTGCTTAAAGGGCCGGGCAGTGGGGCACGCCCCAGGCGGTTCCCCCGGCATCCGCCCCGCGGTTCCCCCAGTGACGTTCCCTTAGCTTCGCGTTGCTTATCTCATCTGAGCTTAGTTTATTTCAGATTACCTTAGCTTAGCTTCATTTTACCTCCGTTTTATCTTAGCTTAGCTTACCTTCATCTTAGCTTCGCTGAGCTTTAGCATAGCAGAGCACAGCATAGCAAAGCATAGCGTAGCATAGCATAGCGCAGCATAGCATAGCATAGCATAGCCCAGCATAGCATAGCATAGCATAGCGCAGCATAGCATAGCATAGCATAGCACAGTATAGCATAGCATAGCATAGCATAGCGCAGCTTAGCATAGCATGGCATAGCATAGCATAGCACAGCGCAGCATGGCATAGCATAGCTTAGCATAGCATCATAGCATAGCATAGCATAGCGCATAGCATAGCATAGCATAGCATAGCATAGCGCAGCATAGCATAGCATAGCATAGCAGCAGCATATAGCATAGCATAGCATAGCATAGCGCAGCTTAGCATAGCATGGCATAGCATAGCATAGCACAGCGCAGCATGGCATAGCATAGCTTAGCATAGCATAGCATAGCATAGCGCAGCATAGCATAGCATAGCATAGCATAGCATAGCATAGCATAGCATAGCATAGCATAGCATAGCATAGCGCAGCATAGCATGGCATAGCATAGCATAGCATATCATAGCAACTAATGCTGCTTTCCTAGCGGCTACAACTTCTAGGTAGGGTCGCACTGGGGTAAATTATTTATTTCTATACTAGTGTGGACCCATGGATTACATCCACGAAGCGGAGGGATCGAAGCATTGTGGCGCGCGCTGGGTTGTGCGACGCTGCCAGCTACTGCTGTAGATCCCTTGAAGCTTGTTCTAGTGCTGTTCCCCCACCGAAGGCGCCCAATGCATCGAAACGGGGGCCGAAGTGTTAGAGCTTCGCAAGAAGCAGAAATTCAGGAGTCCAGGCCCGAGCAACGTTGGAAGATTCGCGCCAGGATCGCGGCGGACGCGGGAGCGGGTTCGAGCAAACGCGGCGCCGTCTCGGGCCGCGTCGGAGGCGTCGGAACGGCGTCGCGGCAAAGTAGGGAGCGCAGCGGGGCAGCCCCAGGGCCACCGGAGCGTCAAAACATTTTTTCTTTTTTTGCGCCTGCCAGGGGCCTCTCGCCTCTCGTCCGCCCCCCTCTGTTGGAAGCACTTTTGAAACTGTTTTGGGCTCCTCGGGGGCTTCTCGGAGCCCTTTTGGGCCGGCAGGGCGCCTCGTGGGACGTCTTGGGGCCGTCTTGGGGCCGTCTTGGGCGCCTATCGGGCCGTCTTGGGGCCATCGTGGGCTGTCCTGAGCCCCTCTTGGGCCTCTCGTGGTCCCCTTGGGTCATCTTGGGCGCCTCTTGGGCCGTCCTGGGCCGTCCTGGGCCCGTCTGGAGTCATCTTTGGGCCCTCTTGGGGGCCGTCTTGGGCAATCTTGGAAGCCTCTGGGGCCGTTGTGGACGCTTCGAAAAGCAAGAAGCCGAATCTGCTGAAAATGTCAATTTTCCGAAGGGAATGTGACGACTTTAGCTTGAAGGATCCCTTTCGGGGCACCCCTTGGACTCGCCTGGAATCGTCCGGGGGCGTCTTTGGGGCTCATGGGGCCGTCTGGAGAGCATCTTGGGCCGCCTGAGGTCGTCTCGGGGCCTCCATAGGCCGTCTCGGGGCTGTCCTGGGCCCCTCTTGGGCCTCTCGTGGGGTCCTCTTGGGTCGTCTTGGGTGCCTCTTGGGCCGTCCTGGGCCCGTCTGGAGCCATCTTTGGGCCCTCGTGGGGGCCGTCTTGGGCGATCTTGGAGGCCTCTGGTGCCGGTGTGGACGCTTCGAAGACCAATGAGCCGAATCTGCTGTAAATGTCAGATACATACATACATACATACATGCATACATACACATACATACATACATACATACATACATACATACAGACAGACAGACAGACAGACAGACAGACAGACAGACAGACATACATTTTGGAGGGCTCTTGGGCTGTGTATTGGCCGTGCTGGGCCCATCTGGGGCCACGTTGGGGCCATCAAGGCCGCGTTGGGGCCTCCCGCTCCCGCTCTGGGGCCCAACTTGGGCCTGTCCTGGGGCTCTCTTGGGCCGTCTGAGGCTCGTCCCGGGCAATTTTCGGGCTCCCTGGGGCAGTCTTGGGGCTCTGTTGGAAACCTTTTCGGCGGTCCTGGGGCGGTCTTGGGGGCGTCGTCGGCTGTCGTGGAGCGCCGGGAAATCGAAAACGCGAGACACCGAAAAACATCGCAAAAACCAATGGAAATCAAGGATTTGAGCCTTATCGGACTCTCTCGGGATGCTTCTCGGAGCTCTCTTGAGGCCTCTTGGAGGCCTCTTGGGCTGTGTATTTGCGGTCTCGAGTCCATCTTGGGCCTCGTTGGGGCTATCTGGGCTGTCTTGGAAGGGCTTGTCAAAGTCCCCGAGGGCTTCTGGGAGCTCTCTGGGGCAGTCTGGGAGCTCCAGAGCCGCTCCGGGGTGCCCTGGGAGCGGTCTGGGAAACCCTGGTCCTCCCGTGTCCTGTCGTGGTCGCGGCCCCGGGCGCCTGGGCCTCGTGCACGGGGATCTCTCTTTCTCTCTCTCTCTCTCTCTCTCTCTTTTTTTTTCTCTCTCTCTCTCTCTCTCTCTCTCTCTCTCTCTATATATATATATATATATATAAGATGCACATTATTTTTTACAAAAAAAGAGCGGCATACACATACAAACATCTAAATATACATATACATATACATATACATGTACATATACACATACACATACACATACACATACACATACACATACACATACATATACATATACACAAACATATACACATACACATACACATACACATACATATACATATGCATAAACATTTACATACACGTATACATACGAATGTACATGTACATATACCTATACATATGCATATACATATACATATACATGTACATATACATGTACATACACATATACATATACACATACATATATATATATATATATATACATATGCATACATAAATACATACACATGTGCATATACATGTACATGTGCATATACACATACATATACATATGCATGTACATCTACATATACATATACGTATACGTATACATATACACATACATAAACATACACATATACATATACGTATACATATACATATGAATGTACAAGTACATACACATATACAGATGCATCGATATATGCATATACATATACATATACATATACATATGCATATACATATACATATATATATGCATAAGCATGTACATAAACATAGGCAAATACATGTGCATATACATATGCATAATCAGATTCATGAACAAATACAAATACATATACATATATACATCTACATGTACAGATACATATGTATGAACATACACATATACCTATACATATACGTATACATATACATGTGCATATACATGTGCATAAATATACACATATACATATACACATACATATACATACACATATACATGTACACATACCTGTACACATACATATACCTATGCCGATACCTATATATATATATGTATATATACATATACACCTACAACTGCATATACATATGAATATACCTATACATGTACATAGACATATACGTATACATATACATATGCATATACAGATCCATCCATCCATCCATCCGTCCATCCACCCATCCATCCATCCATACATCCATACATACATACATACAAACATGCTTACATACATACATTGGAAGCCTCTTGGGGTCTGCTTGGGGGCCTCTTGGGGGCAAGCACGGTGCGAAGACGAAAATCACGAATGCGGTTGGCATGTACGTTTTACGATGAGAACGGGGCCATTTTTGCCTCTCAGGGCCCTCTGGGTGGTCAAATTGCACGGGTTATGAGGCGTCTTGGAGGCCTCGTGTTGGCTGCTTGGGGCCTCGTGGGGGTCTCGGGGGTCCTCTTTTGGCGTGGGGCTGGCAATTCCAATTGGATTGCCCTATCTTGGGCTCCTCTAAAGCCCTCTGGGAGGCTGTTGGGGCCGTTTTGGGTGCCTCTGGGGCCAGCCTGGGACCCTCTTGGGCCGTCTTGGCGCCCTCTGGGGGGCCTCTTGGACCGTGTAGGTGCGATCTTAGGGACCCTTGAGGTTGTCAAGGATGGTGCGAAGACGAAAATCACGAATACGGTAAACATATACGTTTTACTGAAGGAATGGGGTTATTTTTGCTTCTCGGGGCCCTCGTGGGGCAAATTGCACGGGTTAAGACGCGTCTTCGAAGCCTCTGGGGCCGTTGGAGACGTCCCGTGCTCCGTCACAGCCGTCTTCAGGGTGGTGGGCGGCTGGCTGGCGCCGCCGTGACGCGCATCGGACCGCCCTCCGATACGATTTTGGGCCCCTCAAGGTCCGGCCAGGCCACCGGGCCACACATTTGTGGTAGAGGTCGTGGCCCCCGGGCCCCCGGGACCGGTTGCGGCCCGGTCCGGTCCGCAACCGGATGACCCTCCTTGCCGCCTCCGAGGCGCTCTTCGTGGCCAAGGCTGGCTTCGTCTCGAAATTATTGTCCAAACGCACCCCTGGGCATCGCAGTTTTTTTTGCATCTTGGGCTGTCTGGGAAGCCTTTTGGGCGTCTCGGGAGCGTCGGGGGGAGGGGGGTCTTGAGAGTTACTGGAAATGTTCGTTCGGCCCCCTCCTGGACCGCTGGGCTCTTGGTGGCCTCTTTCCGGCCTCCTGGATGCTGATTGAAGCCGCTTGAGGGGCCTCGTGGGGGCCTCTTGGGCTCTCTTGGGGGCCTCTTGGGGTCTCCTCGGAGCATCATGGACTGCTTCTTGAAGTCGTCATGGGACCTTCTTAGCATGTCTTCGGGGGCTTCTTAGAAAGAGTTTTGAAGCCTTTTGGGTGCCGTCTCGGGGCCTCTTAGAGCCTCTTTTGGGCTTCTTGGGGGCCTTTTGGGGCCTCTTGGGGGCCTCTTGGGGCCTCTTGGGGGCTTCCTGGGGGCATCTTGGGGCCTCTTGGGAACATCTTGGGGCGGAGACCTTGATTTTTCGGTTCGCGTTCCCACTCTTGGGCCCCTTTGGGGGCCTTCTTGGGACCCTCTTGCACCGTCTTGGGCGGCCTCTTGGGCCGTCTTGGAGCGGTTTTGGGACCCTCTTGGGCGGTGCTGTAGCGCCAGAAACACGAAACAGCGAGAATTCAAAGAACATCGAGAAAACCTATATCAAAATCAACGATTTTGCCCTCTCGGGGCGCTCTTGGGCGGCATCTTAAAGGCCTCTTGGGGCGTCCTGGGGGCCTCCGGGGCAATTTAAAACGCATCGTGCGTCGCCAGAGACCCCTGGACGGCATCTTGGGGGTGTCTCGAGACCGTCTGGGGCCTCTTGGGACCCCTCTGGGGCTCGTCCTGGGGCTCTCTTGGGCTGTCTTGGGGGCCTCTCGGGCCGTCTTGGGACCCTCTTGGGGTCGTCTTGGAGCCCTCTTGGGAGCCTGTGGGGTAGTCTTGGGGGCCTCCTGGCCGTCTTGGACGCAGTGGAAGCCCAAAAGGCGAACACGCCAAAAATATCAGTTTTTCCGATGGGAAATCTGCGATGTTTGCTTATTTGGAGCTCTATTGGGGTGCCTCTTGGGAGCCTCCTGGGGGTCTCTTGGGGGCCTCTTGGGGCCTCTGGGGTGCCTCTTGGGGCCTCCTGGGGACCTCTTGGGGCTTCCTGGGAGCCTCTGGGGCCGAAAGCTCGGAATTAGAATATGGTTGTGCACCTCTGGGGCCCCTCTCGGGCTCGTCCTGGGACTCTCTTGGGCTGTCTCGGGGGCCTCTCGGGCCGTTTTGAGACCCTCTTGGGGCCGTCTTGGGGCCCCGTCCTCGACCGTATTGGGTGCCTCTTGGGCCGTCTTGGACGCAGTGGAAGCCCAAAAGGCGAACACGCCAAACATATCAGTTTTTCCGATGGGAAATCTGCGATGTTTGCTTATTTGGAGCTCTATTGGGGTGCCTCTTGGGAGCCTCCTGGGGGTCTCTTGGGGGCCTCTTGGGGCCTCTGGGGAGGCTCTTGGGGCCTCCTGGCGACCTCTTGGGGCCTCCTGGGAGCCTCTGGGGCCGAAAGCTCGGAATTTGAATATGGTTGTGCACCTCTGGGAC